TCCTCTGGCTATGAACATTGCAATTTAAATTTATTTCTTCTATCTCCGGTATAATCAGTTATACGACTTTTCTTTAAGTTCGCAATTTCGATTCGACGATGCTGAATAATTGGCAAGAGAATATTTACTTTTTTCTTTCTCTCTGTTGTTATATCAACCGAAAGTGAATTTTTTCGGTTGACGCAACAAGAAATAGAAAGAAAAGAGACAAAAAAAGATATCGTGTCGGAAATGAGCAGTAATTTTTTTTCTTTCGTAAAAATTTGTACGAAAGCATTGATTTAAAGAATTATTATATGAATATTTCGAAAAGAAATTCTCACGTATTACATTCTGTCTTTATTCGATAAAAATTTCGCAGAATACAATTATTATACATTCTAATTTATAGTACAAATTATTCTATTTAATTTTCCCATATTTAACGAGTCTCGTGAAATGACGAGATTATGCATTTTTTATTGCGTAGTTTCATTTTATAAGTGCCGCGATATAAGTTGGTGCGCCACGACCCGTGAAGTTTTGCGGAGACAACCAGCTTCGTCGTCCGTCGGATGTTAACCATCGACTGTTCACGCTGTGGAACTTCTTCCGGCCCGGGTTACTATCCCCGGTAGGATATTCCCGTCGCGTTTCACTACGTGCAAAAGGCCCTGTCTTTTCTTTGCGCCGTGCAACCTGAATACAGGTGCAACGACTCTATTATTAACAGGAAATCACGACTGATTTTAATTCTATCCCAGGTTGCACGTAGGATAAACGCTCGATGTGTAGAAATGTCCACATGCGCAACAAAGCATTTTCTCTCTTCTTAACTTATGATACGTATTATCGTTTATTATTCTGGAATCTTGATAAAGCGTACTTGATAACTCGTGGTACTGCGAATATTGTCTCCGATATTCTTTGATATTCTGCATCAAAGAAAAATTCAGCTCGACAAAGTGGAATTCTCGAAATATTTGTCCCTTCTCTTGACATTCCACGTTAGAAATAAGTTTACTCTACTTGAGAAAATGTTATTTCTTCTGTCGAGGCATTTCATATTCTACACAATTTTACGAAATGTTTTTGACATATAAATGACATAACACACACACTATATTATATTATGGTTGAACTATCATTTTTCTAGGTTAACGATATAATATTTTCTACGCATAATCAAAATGCTTCAGAAACCTATGCATATTCAAACGATAATATTTAATCGATAATTTGATTGCGCAGTTCGAATGTTCTCGTTTCTGTACAAAAAAGTAAGATTGACACGGTTGAATATTAATTGTTCACTGTTTGAAATCCGGGCAATTGCAGTCCTTTCCGATTTTCACAGAGAGCGGATATAGCGCAGTTTCCGAATTACAAGCGTCATCAGGTTTATGAGTAATTAGAGTAACAAGATAAGCTAGTTGATTACAATTCGAGCGTGTCCTATCATGTTATTGATGACCAATTATCTTTCGCTCGTGAGACCCTAGAAGAAAGTAAAACTGTTCTAAGACTAAACGATTACGTCACAGTGTATGAAAATTTTAGTCACAAGCGAAAGATGTTATAAATTCAGAAAAAATTTAAATTATATTCAATCAATAATTAACATAAAAAAATACCCGGATTATTATTAAAAAATTTGCTCTGTTCTAAATCGATCAATTCTATAAAACTATTCCTAAAAGAAAACTATTAAAAAAGAAGTTGAACACTTTAACACTTATACGTAATATATGGCATACATATATTTGCATATATGTAACGCAATGTAACTTATATAAGGAAAAATAAATAAAATATAGGCATCTGAAACTGATTTTTCTTCATGTAATATGCATTGAAAACGGCGTGCAAAGTTACCCGAGATAACTCGTGATAATCTTACGTAACCAACAGCCGTGCTCAGAGGAACACAATAAGACGACGATACGCCGTTTGCATTCGGACCTCAAGGATTCACGTTCGTTAAGACGGGCAGTCGGCCGAAAGGACACGTCCGTTTTCGCGGATATTCAAGTGGAAAAAAACCGCGTACGATGTATCGCCATATATCGTGATAAAAGATTTATGCGTTAAAAATTTTCAGAATTTAAGAAGCTGTATACAATGGTAAATTCATATCTTGTTTTTATTCCGCATCAATTTTTGTGTCAACTGCAAGATTTTTGGAAAAATATTTTCACACGCGTCTTTCCGTTTCTGCTAGCATATTTTTGCTAGCATGTTGTTTCAAAAATATCAATTAAACAATATGTCAACATGTTCAGAGAGCTAAAATAATAGAGAATAACAATTTTGATATCTATATAAGCGATTAATGAAAAAGCGCGTGAATTTTAACTCGTTATTGAAAAATTATATTATGTTATTATGTTAAAAAGATAATATTGATTACGAAGGCATTATTTCTTTTATGAACAAGTTCGAGCACTTAGCGTTAGGTAAACGGATTAGGTATAACAATCCTCATTTTCAAAATAATATTTAGGCTGCATTCTGTTTCTCTATTTTATCAAGTGAGATATAACAAAATAATGATGTTGAAATTTTGCCATCTTTTTCAAACTTTATGTCTCACATAATATCAGTACATATTAAAATAGTTTAATGAAAATATTTTAATTTATTAATTTGTAAACTATTTTTGTAAACTATACAAAGTTTAATTTTTACATGAAGAGAATGATAAGAATTTATCTTCAAAACCGAGATTAAAAGTATTGTGTAACACAGTTAGGAAAAAAAGAAATATATACAAATATAAGTTTTGTTTTTATTTTATCTTATAAAGTATAAACGAGATTTTCCGACGAAAACTTCATGGACTAAAAATTACAGTAAATGGGAGTGAAGCAAGTAATTTAATGCTTCCATTGACTCTCGTGAGTAATGGAAGCATTAGTTACTCAAAGAACGTCAACTTTTAGATTTTTATTTTAGAATACAGGAAACATTTTTAACAGAAAAATAGTCGCGTACAATTCGATTAAATTTTAC